TTTGTGAAAAACCAGTCATGCAGAGAGTTTGAGAGGCCTGCAAAGTGTTCCTGGGGGCTGGGAGGGCAAAAATAAGCAAAAAAACGGGCCTTTTTTACTCATTTTTGCCCTCCCCCCAGCCCCCAGGAACACTTTGCAGGCCTCTCAAACTCTCTGCATGACTGGTTTTTCACAAAAAATAAGGTGTGCAGAGGGTTTGGGAGGATTGTAGAGTGCAAAAACTTTTTTTAAAATTTATGTCTTCAAAATCTTGGGTGTCTCTTATACTCCGGTGTATTTTATACTCTGAAAAATACAGTAGTTGATGCTTCTAGGATGAGATCTTTCTAAACATGGAATACTTTCTCATCAAATTCTTGGTGGTATCAAGATAACTAAAACAACTTTAAAATAAAATTGTGTTCTGAATACTGTAATCCTTACTTTAATTACTGTTTGAATAATTCTTTTTGCTAGATTTAAAATCAAGATTTCGGAAGTAAAAATCAATATATCAAATTTATGCTCGAAATCAAAGCTGCCGTATATTGTTTGAATTCTACCTGTATGATTTTTCATATATCAGTAGATAAAAATGTTATGGCAAATTATTTGGTTAATGTGTTAATTATGGATATATATTAATTTTAAATTTTAGCTTCCGAGAAGAAATTGCCAAATTTCTTACTGAATATGCAAATGCTTCAGTACCATTAGATCCAGAACATGTAAGATGCAAGGATATTTTTTGTCTTTCTTTATTGTTGGTAATATTTGATGAAACCTATCTAAAATGTGATTTTTAACAAAGTTGATTAAATTTATTACTTTTAAATTGGTTTGGAAAATATGATGGGATATATCACAATATTTTTATGCTGAAACTAATGTCAAATTGTTTAGATAAGTTTTAGGTTCCTAACTTCTTCATGTTATCAGTCCCAGCATAGATATATTTATAATGATAATTTGGAAATAATATTCAGGTTTCTTAACATTTCTGAAACTGTTCTATTTCTGTTTGAATTATCTTCATTCCTAACTCAGGTACCATCACATTACCTATTTACAATAGCATACTTTCTTTATCATAATTAGTATAACAGCCTATTGATAGTCGCACAATATAGAAATACTAGTTTAGAGGTAGTATTTGCTTACTGTATGCCTGGACTGGTCAAAGTTATAATGGTTGGTTAAAAAAATCAGTTTTGCGACCAATCCTCACATGAATGATAGTTCCAGGATCCTGCAGTCACATGATCACCATTTGGGTGCTTCACAACCAGCATTTATAGCTGTAATACCATCCCATGACCACTATTTGCAAGCTTCACAAACCAGCAAAATTTATAGAGAACACAGAAATGAAATTGTGAGTTGTGGTCATGTGATATCTTGCTTAATGACTGTAGTGATTTAATAATGAAAGTGGAAGTGACATCATAAAATAGGCACATCGAATAATTTTTCACTTGGCCACCGCAGCACTTAGCAATGGAGTTGTCAGTCCCAGTTGTAGTCATTAAGCAAGGACTACCTGTAGACTTTAATAATTTCAAACAACATAATCTCCCAGATAGTTGAATGCCATAAGAATTATTAAATACCAGCCAAAACCATGATGTGATTGTTTTTAGACTGGTCCCTTAGTATTTCAAATTACCAATGTTGTTAATTGCAACTTGGCATTTGTCTAGATTATTGTGATGAATGGCTGCTGCGCTGTCTTTGCAACTCTTTCGACTGTGTTGTGTGATCCTGGAGGTAAGGCAGCTTTAGTGTATGTGTGTATATATATATATATGTCAACTCTGAAGTGAACCTGGCTGAAGCCTGATAGTTGGCACAAACTCTGAGAGGGAGAAGGGAGGGGAAAATAGATAGGCTTGCTGATAATCAAAACAAAAAGTTTTCTTGTGGGAAGTAAGGTCATCCTAACAGGTGGCAGTTGAAGGAGGAGAGAAGTGACCAAGCAGCCTCCCAGGCTACTTTCATTGGACAATGTGACAGGTGACATCTGAGGGGGAAAAAATTTGCTCTTTTAATTAGGGAAAAAACATGGAAACTTTAAAAGTTGGTTTTCACTAGCTGTGCCAATATGATGTATCCAAAAAACATGTTCTTTGAGGAATCTACCTGCCTCAGATTTCTGCTTTTAGCGGGTACATTACTTGAAACACTGACAATGTATATATTTGTGTGTGCGTGATTTTCATGCAGTACATGTTACTGTAATAATTTTCAGCAATGTCTTTTTAAAAGCATATGTTTTCCATTGGCTGATATCAAGACATAACTTTTTTTGTCAGGTGATATTTACAGTTAACACTATTTATGTGATTTTCAAAAAACACTGCTAAAATTAAACTATTGGTGTGCACTCTTAAATACCTGAATATAATTCTGATAAAGTCTCATTAGTTAATGATTTTTAAATGAAAAAGGATATAATACTGCTAAAATGTTTAGTTAACTAATAAATAGCATAATAATAAATAGTATACTTTAAAACCATTAGGATTTATGGAACACAATAATGAAAAAGAAGCAAAATAGTATAGTGCTTTATAATAGTAAAAGTCTCCTGAAAAAGATTTCCTTTGTTTGTTTGTGTTTTTTTACAGATGGATATCTAATTCCAACTCCATATTATGGTGGCATAAATTCCAAAACTTGGTTATATGGTGGAATGCAACCTGTTCATGTACCATTATTCAGTGAGGTATTCTTTTTATTACATATAAATAAAGAAGTGTATCATTGTATTTACCCTTTTCAATGGAGGGAAGTTCTACCACCATGCTTTTAATGCCTAAACCTTTGACTACACTGATGTTTCCTCAAGTTTGTTCAGGATTTTTTTTACTAATAATTGCAATATCTTATTGAATTATTAACATTGAGAGTTTTGGATTTTAGGTACCTGACAAAGGAAGCCAGCCGTTTCAATTAACAGTTGAAAAATTAGAAGCTGCATACCAGGAAGCCACGGAAAAGGTAGGAATATTTTTGTTTGAACTTCATATTCTACCGGTAATTGTAAATGAATACTATTTGTAATTGATTTTAACCTTTCTGGTAAAACACATTGTGCTAAAATACAAAAGAGGCAAATGTGTGTTGACAAGTGGGGAATTGATTGAGAATGTTTTCATTATCTTTATCCTTCCTATATTACCTCTATTCTGTTCAGCCCGTTAGCCCAGTAGGCGTATTTAGAATTTAAAGAACATGTCATTAGTGCTTTCCCCAAATATTTATTTATTTATTTATTGAATTTAGATTGCTGCCTTTTTGCCCATGGCCATTCAAGGTGGCTTACAGAATATAAAACCACATTTAAAACAATAAAACCAATAAAAAGAATCAAATAAATTAATATAGTACCAATATAGCAAAATCACCTCCCATCCCGCACTCCAGCATCATCAGATCAAACAAGTCATTTAATGAGCTGCATCCCGCTCTGGGTTCCCCAGGCCCGCTGCAGAACCAGGTGTTCAGTGCCTTATGGAAGAGTATTAGAATGGAGGCCATTCTAATCTCCGGGGGGAATGATGTTCCAGAGAGAGGAAACCACCACAGAGAAGGGCCTTCTTCTGGGTCCCACCAGGTGTATCTCCTTCGGAAATGGGACCTGCATACCAGGGTCTGCATAAAATCATGCGGGCCACTGCATTTTGCACCAACTGAAGCTTCAGGATACTCTTCAAGGGGAATCCCATGTAGAGCATGTTGTAATAGTCAAGACAGGAAGTGATTAGGGCATGAGTGACTATGAGAAGGGACTGCTGGTCCAAGAAAGGGCGTAACTGGTGCAAAATCCGCATTTGCACAAAGGCCCTCCTGGCCACAACCTCCACCAGCAGGAGTTGTGAGTCCGGAAAACCCCTAGATTAAGTGCAGGGTCTGTTTGTGGTAGTGCCACACCATCCAAGACCAGAGATGGCAATTCTCCCTGAGCCAACGAACCCCAAACCCAGAGCCACTTGGTCTTGCCAGAGCTTAGTTTCAATCTGTTGCTCCTCATTCAGCCCCAACTGCCTCTAGGCACTATGAGAGGGAGGACACGACATCAGTTAACTTACCATGGGCCGAGACATACAGTTGAGTATCAATCAGCATATTGGTGATACCTCAGTCCATGGTAATGGCTGATCTCACCCAGAGGCTTCATATAAATGTTGAACAGGAGTGGAGAGGTTACCAAACCCTGCAGAACCCCATAAAACTGTGAGCGAGGGCTGGATTGGACACTGGCTGAGAGTGGCTGCAGAAGAAGTAAGTGAACCAGGATAGCAAAAGGCCTTCCACTCCCACCCCCTGAAGCTGCCCCAGGAGAATACTATGGTCCATGGTATTGAAAGCCACTGAGAGGTCGTAGAGCAAGGATGGATACACTACCCCCATTCTGCTCCCGCCAGAGATCATCCAAAAGTGTGACCAATACCATTTCTTTTCCAAATCCAGGTCTGAATTTTGATTGGTAGGGGTCAAGATAATCTGTTTCATCCAGAAACCTCTGGAACCACCGCACTACCACCTTCTCAACAACCTTTCCCCAAAAGGGAAGATTGGGGACAGGTCAGAAATTATCCAACAAGCTGGAGTCCAATGATGGCTTCTTAAGAATAGAACAGACCACAGACTCCTTAAAGTGCTGGGACACTGCCCCCTCCTCCTAAGGAAGTATTAATCACAGCCAGTCCTCCTGCCTGTCACCTCCTGGGAAGCTTTCACAAGCCAGGAGGGACATGGGTCTAAAACACAGGTGCTTGCACACTGCTGTCCACTTTCTCGGGAGCAACAGGATCAAACTGTTCCCAGATAACAGGGCGAGAACCTGCCTCAGGGACTTCCATCAGACCAGCAACCACGCTGGCATCTAACTGGGAACGAAGTCAAGCGATTTTCTTCCAGAAAATCCACAAATTCCTCAGCGCATCCCTTCAGGTGGACCTCAATCACCTCTTTCCCCAGGAGGAGGTGGCTCACCTTAAAGTGGGTCATTGGGTGATTATCTGCACCCAATGTGGAGAAGTATATTTACACTTCGTTGCATGAATTGCCACTAGGTAGGCTTTAGTAGCAGTTCTTACCCGTGTTCGATCAAGTTTATCCCAGTGGCGCTCTACACATAGCAATAGCAGTTAGACTTATATACCACTTCATAGGGCTTTCAGCCCTCTCTAAGCGGTTTAGAGAGTCAGCATATTGCCCCCCAGTCTGGGTCCTCATTTTACCCACCTCGGAAGGATGGAAGGATGGGTCAATCTTGAGCCGATAAGATTTGAACCGCCGAACTGCAGCTAGCAGTCAGCTGAAGTGGCTGCAGTACTGCACTCTACCCACTGCGCCACCTTGGCTCATCTCATGTGTTTCATCCCTCTCAGTTCCTCTGTATACCATGGGGCATAGAGAGGTCTATGGATGAGGAGAGGTCACATTGATACAATCCTATCCAGAGCCTCAGTCACCCTCCTATTCCAAACAGTGACTAAGAGCTCGGCTGGACTGCAGAGTAGATCTGCAGTTATAGCTCCCAGCTTCTGAAACCCATCCGGGTGCATTAGTTGATGGGGGAGGACCAATCTAATAGGTCCTGCCTCTCTGCGGTGGTGGTGGTTTACAGCTCTTGAGAAACTCATTGCCACCAGACTGTAATCTGATCATGACAATGGGACCAAGGACAGGTCCACCAATTTCAGGTCACATAGGCACTACTCTCATAAGAACCCCAAATTGGGTGTGTGGCCACTATTGCTAGTAGGACCCTGGATGACCTGGGACAGGCCCATGGAAGTTATGGTTTCCATGAAATATTGGGCTACCCCCGCCCCCGGGATTGGAGGCTGATATCCCCCAGAACTATAATCCTGAGGAATTCCACCACCAGTCCTACGGTGAGGTCCAGGAGCCCAGGTAGGGAAGCTGCCATGCAGCAGGGAGGCTAGTATAGCAGCAGCAATCCCTCCTGATCCCTTAAGCCCAATAAGAAAAAGGGTCTCACAGCCAGGCCCTTGTGGAGCAGTGCCTCTGGAGGCTACTAGAGATTCTCTGATAATAACAGCCACACCCCCAACCCGGCCCTGAGGTCTAGACTGGTGCCATGCTCGATAACCCATTGGGCATATTTCTATGAGGGAACACCTCCCTCTGGGTCCAGACAGGTTTCAGTTATTCAAGCCAGATCGGCCTTCTCTTGGAGGAAGCTGATCTGACATTTAAAAGCAGCAGCCTAAGACCTGAGCCACCAAAGATCTAACCAGGTAAATGAAGTGAGTGCAAGGGGGTAGAACATGAGACTAATATTAAAAATCGAGGTCGCATTCCCCGTCCCTTGACTCCCGTGTCTCCTGTTACCTGACACCACTGAAATAGGTTGCCCTCTTCTGCCTTCCCTGAGAAACATTCCATCCCCCATCCCCAACACTCCTCCTTAAAAATCTCTCACCCACCAAGCAAGAAGCCAGTCCTCCCCACAGCTCTCACATGGGGAAAAGGGACCAACACACTCGCCTCTCACTCAACTTTCCCTTCCAGGCCCAGCCTTCCCAGGCCCAGTTACAGAACATTCAGATGATTGCAGAAGCAAGATTACAGGAGGTAGCCAGAAAAATAGCCAGAAGGAAATTTAGCAGCAGTGTAGTCCTACAGTGTCTCATGAAGTTCACATTTCCAAGCTCCCACTTGTCAGTTAACCTCAGGAAATCCCAACGGCAGCCACTCTCCACAACAATATTAACCACAAGTAGGTCCAGTTGCCGACAAAGGCCAATGAAGCTTGTCTCTTCTGTCAGCTTTGCCTCCATCAGATGACCCAGGCTATGGCCAGATGCTGACTCTTGGGTTCTCAGACCAGGGTTTAGCTTCAGTCAGGGGAATCCAGGGGGAGACCAGGGAAGTCACACAATTGTAAATCATCCACCTCCTGTGCTCCATCTCCTTGTCTTACCTTCCAACTACCATTTTAGCTGAATATGGCCACGAACAAAATATGCCACTAACACAACCTTTCCTTCTATCTTTAGGATGACCCTATTATTCAGTGTACCTTTATTATCAAAGATATCGGAGAGGATATTTCCAAACAAACTACTATACAGCTTCTGCACACTACTTTTATTTTCAAAAGTAATAAACAATTGTGGCTGGTAGATGCTTTTCAGTAAGCTGAAAATTTGTTTTAAAATTTTAAAATATCCTAAAAGATAAATTATTACCGTGTTTCCCCAAAAATAAGACAGGGCCTTTTTTCTTTTGACCCCCCAAATAAGCGCTAAGCCTTATTTTTGGGAGGGTCTTATTATTTTTGAGGTGCAGTAGGTGGCAAGCATGGTCACCTCACGGCTGCTGTTGTGTTGCAATATTTTTGGGGAGGGCTTATTTTAGTGCATGTGCTCAAATGCCTGATTGGGTTTATTATCTGGGGAGGTCTTATTTTTGGGGAAACAGGGTAATAATAGGAAGTTTAGCAATCATGCTTGGGGCATCTCTCTTGACCTAAACATTCCTCATAGTTCACAGAATAGCTCTAGCTTCTGAAAAGGGGAAGAAAGAAACCTGGAGCATCACTGGAGGAAAACAAGGGATGAATCTCACCAGATATAACTTACAGCTGTTATTAAGGCCTAGCTTGTAGCAGAAATAGCAGTGAAACACCATTATTTCTCCACCCTCTCTGCATTCACAGAGTATTGCCTGGCAGCCATGTTCAAGATTACTTGGTCCCTCCTCAGACAGGAGGACTCCGGTGATCATCTCCAGGCCATGCAGGGAAATATTTTGAACACCTGATGGACAGAATGGTTCCCACTTGGAACTAATGATACCAGTTCTTTTAGAGGTGCCTGGATAAAGGTCTTACCTGGTTATATTTGGGAATGGTTTCATCCTGTTGTACCTGGGGAAGTGAACAGGGCCCTTGATGCTGTCAGTGCAGCGACTTTTCAAATCCCTGGCCCTCCTACCTGGTGAAAATTCAGAACTTGGTGACTGCCTGGTGATTCAGGCAGATCCTTCACTGCAGGAGAAGGGTGACCACTGGTGGGTTTCTACCGGTTTTACTACTGGTTTGCTTGTGCACGCTCTCTCTCTCTTGCACATGTGATACTTATGTGCATGTATAGAAGCATCTGGGTGGGCAGGCAGAGCTGAACCAGGCCGAACTGGGAGCAACTTACCTCGGGGGGGGGGGGCATTTCCAGGACCTTTTAAGAAGGCTATGGTTTGCTCCCTCCTCAGAAAGCCATTTCTTGATCTTACCTTTCAGGACAATTTTTGTCCGATTTCCACCTTCCCTTTCTGGAAAAGATAGTAGAAAAGGCAGCTTCAGAGGGTCCTGGATGAAACAGATTATCTTGACCCCTTCCAGTCAGGATTCAGACCTGGTTATGAGACAGAAAAAATATTGGTTACACTTTGGATGAATTGTGGCATGAGCAGGATGGGAATAGTGCATCCATCCTTGGCTTTTCAGCGGCCTTCAATACCATTGACCATGGTATTCTTTTGGGACTAGTCAACGTAATCTTGTAATATTTGGCTCCTTTCTCCAAGGCAGGTTCTAATCACTGTTAATAGTGAGCGAGAGACCCAGGCCATAGCTGCTTCTTTATTGTTTGCTCACCACAGTGCACTCTCCATCCCTTTTTAATGTATACATGAATCTACTGGGTGAGATCATCTGCCGCCATGGAATGAGGTGCCATCAGTATGCTGGTGATAGTCAACCTTACATCTACATCTCCAGTGACTCAAATGCACTGCCCTTTCATGGTGCCTGAAGACTGTGGGTGCCTGGATGTAGGAAAGTAGGCTTCAACTGAACCATGGGAAGACCCTGTGGCTTTGGGTGGGCGGAGCTTAGAGAGCTTTAACATTTCTGGGTGGGGTTGCATCACCACAGACAGACCCAGTGTGCAATATGGAGATGATCTGGGCTCAAAGAGCAAGTGGCAATTGTGGATAGGAGAGCCTTTGCACAATTTTGTTGAGCTCCTTCCTGGATTGGGAGTCCCTGCAGTCAGTTAATCAAGTCTAATAGTCCCATTCTTGGGCTATTGCAACATGCTCTTGAGTGGTGAGGGGGTGGGGCTACCCTTGAAGAGAATTTGGAAGCTACATCTAGTGCAGAATGCAGCTGCATGACAGTTATTGGGTTCCTAGGGTGGGCCATGGTTGTCAGATTGCTTTTAGGTCCAATTTAAGTGTTGATTATCACCCTTAAAGCCCTTCATTGCATGGCTCCTGGCTATCTGAGGAATCATCTCACCCCAAAGGGATTGGCCTGCCCCACCCAGAAGAGGCAGACATTTTAAGTAATTCCAACTGGCCAGGATCCAGGAGAACGTTTTCTGCTATGGCTCCTGTCTTTTGGAACTTATGCAGCCCTTACCGCTTCTGAAATTTACAACCACTCTTGGCTTTCTGAAAAAGTCTGAAGAACTGGCTTGGGGCTCCAAAGTGCTGTGTCATTCTGGATTAATGGACTAGACAAGAGACACACACACGAGGGCATCTTGCCCCTATCTTTTTCAATTTCAAACTAATTTAAAGTTATTTATTATTTTAATTTTTATTGGTATAATGATTGTAAGCCACTTATATTCACTTCCTGGTGAGGTACTATGGGTCATTGAAATGGCATGTTTCTGTATCAAGTTTGCAGAGTGTGAAAACTTCACATGGTCTTTTTAAATCCAGTAGAATTCTTACAATAACATAATTAACAATTTTAGTAGCCAACTGTATATTTTTGTGGAATATTATATATTTTCCTTCCTTTACTAAAATTATTGCCATTGTTTGAAAAAAATGCTGTGTATTTATATAGAAGTTTTCAGTTTTTATTTTCAGTTATTTCATTCATTTTTTAAATCTAGAATCAATTAAAAATAAAAATAAAAATGTTCTTGTTGGCTATAATTAGATGAATGCAATATGTTTGAAGTGCCTATTTTTGATATAAAATTTCTGTTCTTGGACTTTCTGAAATTTGTCTTTTTAGCCATTAAGGATGAAAGCTAATAAGAGAAAAATGCTGCAATTTTAAGATCATTTTCTTGAATTGAAAAGACTGATGTTGCAGGAAAAAATATGCATGTAAACAGTCTACTGTTTTCCGTACGTGAGTGACACTTTTAATAAAGGATGGCAGTGTTGCAGACTCTGTCTGCAAGTATGCTTGACGTCATGTTGGCGTCTCCGACTATCAGTTTTTCTTTTTTCAGGGCATCCGAATCAGAGCATTAATCCTGATCAACCCTCACAATCCATTAGGGGACATTTACCCAGCACAGTTACTGACAGAATGTCTAGAGTTTGCACACAGGTTTGCGTGCTAGAGCTGTTTATTTGGGATTTAATTTTCCATAATGCATTATTTCACTTATGAAATGATTTTGGCAATTTCCTTTCATTTGACACGTGCTAAATATGATTATCTGCCCTACTTAGGAGGTATATGGGGCAATAATTTGTCTTCTTCGTTTTGTGAAAAAACTGAGAATTTTTCAATAACCAATATAAGAAAACATAATAGTGATTATTAATGTATGCATTGCTAGGGCAAGGCTACTCTTTTTAAAACTCCAATGCCTGATGTATGTATGTATATATACGTATATATGTCAGAAATTGAATAATGGTTATTGCCAAAATCAATAGTAATAGTAGTGTGTAATATATTAAGCTCTTGATTTCAGAAGTATTTTAATAGCAATTTATGAATTGGGAATTGAGGAAAGCCTTTAATTTTAAATTTAGATATTTTAAATTATTTTAAAATCAGTAAATAGAAAGCTACATGGTATATGAGTAAATATATCTGTATCTTGCACAAAGAAGGGTGTTTTGTTTAAAACAAAAATAAAAGTTTCCAGTTGCCTTATTTTATTGCAGTATATTCAAACATTTAATTGTCTTTGAATACATTCTTATAGTTCCTTTAATTTATACACTATACTTTTAAATATGTCTACAATTTTTTTCTTACTTTCAATGAAACTTTAAATATTGATTTATAGTCAGAGACCAAAAAAAGAGGAGGAAACAAACAGAAAGACTACTAGTACAAAAACTAGGTAACAAAGAGAGTGATAATATTTTAAAGCCATCAAAAATAGCCAGCCATTGCGCTGCAGACTACATTAAGCAACAAATGAATGATTTCCCCCAGAAATATTTAATGTAATAATCGTTCTACAAGTGTAAATCCTATAATGGTAAAGGTTCCCCTCGCACATATGTACTAGTCATTCCCAACTCTAAGGGGCGGTGCTCGTCTCCATTTCAAAGCCAAAGAGCCAGCCCTGTCTGAAAACGTCTCCGTGGTCATGTAGCTGGCATGATTAAACACCGAATGTACATGGAATGCTGTTATCTTCTCACCAAAGTGGTCCCTATTTTTCTACTTACATTTTTTACATGCTTTCGAACTGCTAGGTTGGCAGAAGTTTGGACAAGGAACGGGACTTCGCTCCATTGTGCGGCGCTAGGGATTCGAACTGCTTAACTGCTGACTTTTCTGATTGACAAGCTCAGCATCATAGCTGCTGAGCCACCTAATGCTACCTTCCATCTTTCCATGATTTCTTTTAAAAATTTAATGGCTAGAATAGAAATGACTTTTTCAGAGCTTTTTAAGCCTCAAAATTAATGTTTTTCTATCTATATGTCCTGTTAAATATGGGGCCGCATTTGACATTAGAAATAAAAAAATTAATTAACAGAATTTTTCCAAGGAATGGTTTTTAGAAAAACATTTCTAAATATTTAATATTTCTATCAGTAGCAGACTTCTGAATGTCTAGGAATATTAGAATTAAGAATTCAGTTTGTTATATTGTTATGACTTTCATTGTGTAATATAAGAGCTTCTAAGAGTTTTTAAATGTTTTTAATACTAATCTTACAGATAGCATGTTAAGAATTACTGAATGAAGTAATGAATCCATGAATCAAAATTAATACTTGAAGATTTTAAGAAATTCTTATATATTTTTCTGTATATAGATATGAGTTACATGTAATAATGGATGAAGTTTACATGCTGTCAGTATATGGTGATACCACATTTACAAGCATCCTTAGCTTAAAGAGGTAAGGACACACTTCTATTGGAAAGTCTTTATTGAGATAGACTATAAAAACAGAATTTTGCAAGACTTCCTCTGAAATTTTCTTTTGTCCCTTCTTATACCCCAGAGATTCAAGGGGGAAATCAGTCTTTTTCTAATATTTTCCCTCACCCTGGGGGATGAGGGAACATATTCTGCACTTGTTCATGTCTTAACAGCTCCTGGATAATTTTCCTAAGGTCATCTCAATGGATAGGTAAAGGTAAAGGTTCCCCTGCACTTGCATGCTAGTAATTTCTCAATGGATATCTCAGTGATATCTCAATCTTTGCAAGTTTAAAAGGTGTAAACTAGCTGGGGAATTTGAGGAATTGAAGTCCACACCTCTTAAACTTGCCAAGGTGGAGAAACACTACGTATTTTTTCCAGAATAGTATTTGATGTAATATCATATATATGATTCAAGAGTTAGTAGACTTTTCTACCCATTTTTTCTATTCTAACAAAACCCAAAGTAAAAAAAACAAAACCCAAGAAAGTTGATGTTTGAATTTTATTAATACCTTTATTATTAAATGTACTATTTAATATTAAAATTAAGCCTGATAAAAATTTGGTACAAATTTTTGCTAGCTCATTGATCTTCACAATAGGAGGCATTCATATTCAAAAGTCTTTGCTGTCCATAATGTTCTAAGGGTTTAAAGATTAATACTAATATCAATAAGCAATTAGCAAAATTTATTGTAGTTAGCAGTCTAGTTGCTGTATTCTCTATCTGTTGCAACTTTTGGATACATCTTAAGTATGTCTGCATTCCATAGATATAATATGTTGTAATTTTCATCCGGCAAATTTTCATCAACTATTGAAATGTAGGTAATTGTATACAGTATAGTAGCTTTAAGATCTATCCAGACTACCTATTTTTTATAAGAAATACCATACACTCTTTAATACTATGTTTATGATTTAGCACGCTCTTGTGCGAAGAATTTTTTCATTAAGCTCTAATATGACGAAGTCCTTATACATTGCTTCATCCCTTAGTCTTATTGCAACATGGCAGGCCAACTTCTTTAAATCAAAGTTATCCATTTTTGATTGGAACTGTCATATTCAATCCTTGAACTGGAATATGTTATGGATAGGTGGGAGGATGGGTGGAATAGGATGAAGATGAGAAGTTTCATAGTGACAGTGGGCCTTATAATATGCTCAGGATAGCAACAGTATATTAGCCATAAGAGCAGGAAATATGTACAAAAATGCTGGAAAACATGAGGACCCACTCTACATATAAACCCAGCATAAGTTTTGACTTATATGAAGTAATTGTAAGCCAAAAAAACAGACACTGAGCAACAGCAGTTCCGGTTGCCAATTTTTAAGCAAAGATTACATGATTTTGACTTTCTGCTGGCTTCCCCATTGACTTTGCTTCTGTAAAGCCAGCAGGCGAAGTCACAAATAGTGATCATGTGTCCGTGGGACACTGCAACACTCATTAAGTATAAGTTCCAGTTGTCAGCACAACTCATTGTAAATTCGAACAGTTGTTGAATGAGTAGTTTATTAAACAAGGACTATTTATAAAGTCAAAGCTCATAAACAGAGTACAATTCACTACCATAAAGCTATATTATTGTGTTCATTAAATGAGCACTTTTTATAATTCCATTATATCAAACTTGCACTGATTTCAGAAGGTACAATTTCAGTGGCCCTCATTATTTGCAATCTCATTACATGGTTTTACATATCTTCAATTGATAATTATAAACTACTCCTTATAATTTTTGTAATTTCTATGAATAATGAGGCCACTAGTAAGTATAACAGATTTTCTCTTTCAGAGTATACTTGTCCTTATAATTAAATTTTTTTTAAAAAGAATATATTAATTCTTTGTGAATATTTCTTTTTAGTTTACCTGATCCAGACCGAACCCATTTTATGTGGGGATTTAGCAAGGTAGGTTAGAGATAGTTGATATCAATGTGTATTCAATATGTTCCTGAATGTCAAATTTTCCTCTCCCATACTATTCAGTTTGCACAGTAGAAATTATTAATGTTACTGCTATTGATGAAACTGGAATTCAGATTTTTTTCTCCCTTACTATTGTATGACAGACAGTTTGTAGTGGGACATGGGCAATCTAATTAAAATTAAAGCATAGTTTAAACTCTTTAATCTAAAAAAATAATCAAAAACTCCCTCAGTTTTTCATAGTATTCAGTCTGCAGCAAACCACAGCAAACTACAGGTGATACACAAAAGACACCCTTGTGCACTTATAGCCCAGTCTGTGTGCAAATATGCAAGCAGCTTTTCTTGCATTCTGATTCCACATTTTAGAATTTTACCTTTCCTTATGCCTACCCCTTAGAATTCTGTGCAAATGTGTATATATTTCTGGTTATAATGGTTCTTTCAAATGTCATTAAGAAAGCATATATTTCTATAGTTATTTGTTGTTAATAATAACCTTTGTCTGCTGCTAAATCTCTGATACCATGAAAATAACTCTCTCTCTCTCTCACACACACACACACACACACACACAAACACACACGCACACACACACACAAACAAACACACACCTTCCAAAGCTGCTAAATCTGCATTAGGTGGTCTAGACTCAAAGACTGTTGCCTTTAGACAGAACCTGTAGGTGTTTTTTTTTCTTTTTCTAAAGATCTGTATGGTGCTCTCAGCCAAAAATATTGTCTAGTGCTATTAATTTGATAAGATCAACAGGGAAAGTTATTAATAAATTCTGCTTTGAATTATTTATGCATAAAAAGATAGCAGTTTATTTTTTTAAATGTAAACTTTTGGATTATATAAATGAAATTTGAGAAATTCCATATCAGAATTACAAATTCTGAACTTTGATTTATTTATGGATATGCATGGGGCACTGCCATTTTAAGGGAATTTGAAATTACATTGTTCTTTATGTCTCCTTTCTAGGATTTTGGCATGTGTGGTATTCGAGTTGGAATATTATACACCAGAAACCATTATATCAGGAAAGCAGTTAATCAGCTTGTGGTTTTTCATGGATGTTCTGGACCTGTACAGCACGTTCTCCAACAAATCCTTAAAGACAGAGGTTAGACAAATCTGAAAATGTGACTGCAAATTCACACAAACAGCATCTAAATAATGAACATAGAGCCAGTTTGGTGTAATGATAGAAGTATCAGACTAGAAATCAAGAGTTTGAATTCTAGTCCTGCCTTAAGACACAAAACCAGCAAGGGTGGCTTTGATTCGGTTTCTCTCTCAGCCTTAGGAAGGAGGCAAAACCATACCATTTCTAAAATCCTACAAGAAAGTTGTAGGGGCTTGTCCATGTAGCTGCTAGAGTCAATGACTCAAAAGCCAAATAAAATAAAAATGAAATAAATAAAAAATGATTTTTAGAACAATAGCTGTTGAATTTTTTTAAAAAAATAATTATCACCCTAATTGTGACCAAAGTATGATTTCCCAAACATTATTGTATTCAGTAGCAAGTTATGTGAACAAAATTCGCACTAAAATCCAGCTAAAACCCACTGTATTTTTTCTATTACCATTAATTTGTCACTGTTATTGGTTTCACAATTCATGTTAATGATCATAATTAGAAAAATACTTAACTAATATGTTAAAATGTCAGATTATTTAATCCTCCAATAGCATGAGTCACTTTTTGAAGCTAAGCAGTTACATTTAAAATTATGAGCTAACAAAAATTCTCCCACATCCCTGTTCATACTCTAAAATTCTTACTGAACCAGATTATACAGCAATTAAAAAATTGGACATTGAAAAACTAGAAAAGATTTTAGAGTACGTGTTTTGAAAATGTAAGCATGCTACATGAAAACTGCTAAGTTTTCTCTTCTTTTTCCTGCTTTTGTCTATGATAAAACCTAAGGTAAAAGACAGTGTATAAATTCCATCTCAGCTGCGAAGCAAATAATGACCCGATACATCATGATAAGTCACACGACACAATTGAGTTTAACACTGATGGTACAAAAAAAAAGGAAAATAAAAATGCATTATTATTTGTATTGTTTTGACAGACTGGCTGGATAATGTCTTTTTCCCAATAAATAAAAAAAGATTAAAAGAAGCTAAAAACATTCTTGTGGATGGTCTTGCAGAAGTTGGAATACCTGTTTTAAAAAGCTCAGGAGGGTTATATGTATGGGCTGATTTCAGGAAGGTATGTAAAAAATATAAAAGAATAAAAAGTATTGATTGAAGAAAATAAGATCTCTTGGCCATTTGAAAAATAAGGATGAAATATTGATATTTTAAAATGATAGTTGATGTTTCTAGATCAATTATTCAAAATATTTTGAGGCAGTGATGTATAAAATACTTTTGTTTCAAAACACTTTTAACATGAAATATAAAAAAAAATTCACCATGGACATTTTGTAAATGTTTCAATGTTCTGAAAGAAAGCCCACCAAAATACTTAAAATGGCCTTGTACTACATTCATTGTTAGGGTATTTAATGAAATTTTGAATTTGTTAACATTTCAAAACAAAACATTTTACATATCTTACATTATTTAATATTGTTTTAGTTAAAACTACTACAGGTTGTATTATCCTTACGTTTAGTGATGAGCATACAGAATAATAACATATACCCTTAATAGTAAATTTATGTAATGTTCTAAGTTAGGGGAAATGTTGGGGATCTGGGAATTCATTGATAGGTAAATTAATTGAAAACTCTGATCAGATCAGAACCAGTTTAGTCTAGTGATTAAGGTCTTACCAGGCTCAAGGTTGACTCAACCTTCCATCCCTTCAAGGCGGGTAAAATGAGGACCCAAATTATTGGGGGCAATATGCTGACTTTAAATCACTTAAAGAGAGCTGTAAAGCAGTATATAGGTCTAAGTGCAATCAGGCTAGAAACTAGGAGGCCATGTGTTCTAGTCCTGCCTTAGGCATGAAAGTGAACTGTGTGATTTTGGGCCAGTTTTTCTCTTTAAGCAAAACCTACCTCATAGGATTGTTGTGGGGAAAATAGAAGGAAGAAATATTTGCCATCTTGAGTTATTCATAAAAATAATAAAGGTGGAAAATAAAATCTTTTTTATTCTTTTCATATAAGGTGCTTATTATGTTAATTATAATTATTTTATGTAGCACAATTCATGTTGTTATTTTAGTTTTTAAAAACACAGACATTTGAAGCTGAAATCGATTTATGGATGAAGATTCTGAATGAAAAACTTCTTATTAGTCCTGGGAAGGCCTTCTGCTGTTATGAACCTGGATGGTTTAGAATAATTTTCTCAGATTCTGTAAATAAGATTATTTTGTGTAAGTTTTGAGTTCTATAAAATTATTATGATTCTTTTTCCATTTATACATCCCCTATTCCTGATATCAGCGAGACCAGGCATCTCCAATCCTGGCAATTTTAAGCTTGGAGGACTTCAACTCCCAGAATTACCGAGTCAGCAAAGCTATCACTTAGGAGTTATAGTAGATAGCGTTGCTGGCTAGGGAATTCTGGGAGTTGAAATCCGCCAGGCTTAAAGTTGCCAAGGTTGGAGACCCTTGAACTAGACACATAAAGACTCCATCAGAAAATATAGTTTGATACCTTATTCTATTGTTCATTCAAAAGAGCACAAACATATAATGAAAAATATTTTAATATATCTATTTTTGTTAAGATGTATTTGATCTTTCTTGACCATTTGAGAGAAAAATAATAAAGAAAATTGATTAGTGCTGTAAATGAAGTAAGAATTGTAAATAAAGATAATGCTTGATTATACTAATTCAATATTTTTCTGAAACCTTAATTTGTATTTACTAAAAATAAGTCAACAGAATTTGAAAAGTTAATTATTGTTTTCTAAAAAGCTTTTGAAAAAATTAATACTGGAATATAATTGAAGGTGATATGATAAGTCTTTGATCAGTGTACATTGCTATAACTTATAATTTAGAATTTTCTGGCTGAAGAATTGTTTACATTTCATTTCTAATACTTCTATTTGATGAGAGACTTTATTTATTGGAATAAGCCTGTTTAGTCTAATCTAATGAATTTGGGGTTTTAAATTGCACAGCCATGTCCCTCCTAGCAATACATTAATTTTAGATTTGCTAAGCTTTTTGTTGAATGCACATTGACATAAATGCATTCTCTAAAGTTGATTATTCTCTTTGCTTTTATAGGCATTCAGAGACTCCAACAATTGCTTTGTGATAAAATGGATGAACCTGTTACTCTTTGTTCATCTCCTGAAGGAAACAAATGTACTGAGTCAGATGACAATGTTTCTACTAATGTCATAAATATACCAGTGGATGATATGTCAGAGGGTTATTCACAGCTGAAGAAAATAGCTGTTTTCTAAGATCTGGACTGACAACACAAATAACCTATTTTTATGTATCATGTGACTCCCTTTCTTTTTATATTATCTGAATATAGCTTTTACCTTGTTTGTAATTTATGGTTATTAATTTAAAAACAGGGCTATCACATCTGCGAAAGATTAACTTCCTTAATGAGGTTTCTCTTAACTGAAGTGTTAACCTATATTGGAAAACAACCGACCATTTCTCAATGTGTTTCTTTCAGACAGGTTCCAAGGCTGGAAGCAATGCTTCTACTGGCAAACAACCAGTTGGGGAAAATGGAAATTGGTACTTCTCTGATATGATACATACATTCTCACTGCAGTGGAGACAGCAGTCAGATAGGGTTAACTCCGTCCAGTAACGATTAGGGCTTAGTCTACAGTTTATAAAACCATCCTCCATGCTGCTCCTCACAAGCTTTCGTCAAAGGTGGCCTGTAGACTGACGTGTAGTTGATATGATGGAGAAGGAAGAAAATGGAAAAGGAAGAGAAAGGCCTACCCTAGTCCTATCAAGGGATGGAACCTGACCGGAATAGGGTGGGACTGACTGCTGTCTCCACCTGCAGTGAGAATGAGCGTATCAGGTAAGTACCAACACCCATTCTCCACGATTGGTGGAGACAGCAATCAGATAGGGACATACCCAAGCTTGGCCTGTGTTAAGGGAGGGATCTGGTCCCCATGGAAGAGGAGTTCAAGACATGGACATTGCAATACCCTCCTTCCAAAGGCAGCCTCAGCAGAAGCAAACCGGTCTATCTTTTTTTTAATATATTTTTTTATTTTCACACAAACATAAACACACCAAAACATATAACATAAAAACTTCTTCAACTGCGTACAGTGTGTTGACTGGTTACAAGGTCTTTCTGTGTCCTTTCCATAGTCATCACTTGAGCTTTATCAAAAAATCACATATTGTCAATCAAATATCTTTGTATATATTATTATTATACAGGTCTGCAACTAAAAAGCTGTTTGATTATTTTCATCTAATTTTCATGTATTTTGGTGTGCTGAAAACAAATAAAATATTGAAAAAACTAGATGTCATGATTTGCCACAACATGCAAAATTGTCTTCAAATTTATCAATTTTTTTTAATTTTTGGTA